TTAGATTTTTTATAGGAAATTTGCTAATTTTCAAATTTTGAAAAACCCTTTTATATAAAGTAGGTCTTTGATTGATAAATTTTTTTCGATTATAGATAGTTTAAGCTCGATAAGTATTCTTAGGTAAAGAGGATTAGAAAGTTGGATTTTGATTATTAGAATTTTTTTAATTATGGATAATTTTAATTTCAATAGGATTCTTAGAATTAGAAGTTGACTTGTCAAGTTCTAATAGGATAACTTTCAGGAGCAATTTTTATACAAAGGAGGGATATGATTATGAAATTTTTTTAATCATGGATAATTATAATTTGATTAGGATTAGCAGATATTTGATTATCAGAAATTTAAGGTAAAATAAATATTAGAAGTTGATCTTAAATAGTTACAGGGTGCTAGATGGAGATGGTGTGAAACATTTGCACAACAAATCAAAAAAGGTTGGGTGTGCGATTAGAGAGGGATCAGTTGGAGCTGGACTTTTTTGATGTATGTATGTATTTATGTTGGAGTACGCATATTTGTTCCGTTCAGTTTTCCTTGTAGTTCGTGTATTGTATGTGTAGCGATGTAGTTTTTGATCATCTATGCATATTATAGATGCCAAGGGGATCAGTCGGAGCACATAATTCCGACTATGCAATATAGTTTTCCGTATGTAGTTCCGTAGGGTCGTATGTATCGTTTTCCACGTGCAGAAGTCTTCAAGCCTCCTCGACAACAGTCACCCAATCTAAGCGAGCATCCAACCTCCTACTTCATCGCTCTTCTGAGCTCGGCGATGAATGCTGTTTAGCGATGGTAGATTAACTGCCTTTAATCCTTCAATCCAGCCGATGTGGGACAAAAGGAACTGAACCCGTCTGCAAATGCAGTACGATAGTCTCTAACCAACCCTAAACCGTAATTTTAGCGATCTCCTTCTGAAGCTAGGAGTCCTAAAGAAGAAGATCACGGCCTCGAACACGCTAGATCCCAAGCGATCCATCAGAGGGAACCCCAAAGGAAATCGCTAGTCTATGTGAGTTGCCATTTATTTTTATTTTATTTATTTATTTTTAATTTTTTTGGGGAAATTTACTGTGGTGTAGTTAAAATGCATTAATCTTTTAGGTCAATTTACTGCGGTTTCTCATTCTAGCTACAAAAGCTTGAAATTTCCATTGGATTTCTCCTGATTACTCCTTGATTTTGTTGGACGACGACGATGTTTATTTCTTGATTGCAATACAATAATTACCAACTCAAACGGTTATTATTTCCGATATGTATATGTTGATTCTAGTAATTATGGGCAAAAATATCAAATTAGTATATTTTCTTTATCCATAGTGACAATTTGGTTTTTTTTTTCGGCGACTATATTATTATTTCTCTAGCGACATATTGGTATATTATTTGTTCTCTGGCGACAAATGGGCCTCAAATTTGGACGGACTCAAATTTCTGACGAAATTATTCACGTGACACCTCACATGATGCGAACGTGGCTGCCAGCGTGGCTCCCAGTGACAAATAATTGCAACCAATCTCATCCAAAACCATCCCCTTCTCCATAAAAAAACCTAGAAATCAAGGTACTAAAGCTCACTACATTGAAAATTGAGGGAGGATTTGAAGAGGTTGAAGGTCTGGGAGGCGTCAGAGAGGCAAGAGAAGCGGAGGAGGGAGGAGAGGGAGAGGTGGAGGAGGAGAAGGAAGGAGATTGAGGGGTTAGAGTTTGGGATTTAAAGCTGATTTATGACGCTGGAAGCCACGTTCGCACCACGTGAGGCGTCACGTGAGAAATTTCGTTGGAAATTTGGGTCCGGCCAAATTTGAGGCTCATTTGTCGCCGGAGAAAAAATAATATACCAATATGTCGCCCAAAAAAAATATAGCAAACTGTCATTAAGGGTAAACAAAATATACCAATTTGGTATTTTTGCCATGTAATGATTTTTGAAGTGTGATATTCTACAGTTGAAGTCATAACTCTCATAGCCATTGTTAATGGGCACTTAGGAAGAAAGAAAAATACATACATGATGAAATACAAATAAATTTCTCACTTCGTTACTCAAATCAGTGATTGATAAAAGAGAGGTGGAATTGCAAAATCACTGTGAGTGCAACATCTTATTCAAACCAGAGGCGGTCTCTACAACAGAACCTCAACCCAATCTCAAAACAAATGAAGTTGACAGTACGATGACTTTGTTCACCTTTGAACATCATAATCGTACTACTCAATTGTTGGTTGTTTTGTTGGCCCAATAAGTTGGCCCGTTACTCTAAATGCCCAGCTCCCCCATTTGTGCCCTAGCCCCTCTATTTTCTTCACCTACCCGATGGTTCTCACCTCCTCCTAAGTCTTCGTGATCTGATGGCCGCCGCTTGCTCCCATCCGTAGGTCGGCTCCCTCCTTCGTTTTCTTCCCTAGCTCCTCTCCCGTGTCGGCTGCCCCCTTCCCTATATATGGGTAATGGGTTGGTAGTAGCTCGGTAGAGGGATGAAGAAGAAGAAGAGATAGTGAGGTGAAGATCTGAGCTTGAGCTCTCCTCTGCTGTGTGCGATCTCCCCCCTTCTGTGAGTTTTGTGCTCCTGTGAGCTTTGTGCTCTCACCCCCTTTTCTGCGATTCTCTTTGTGAGTGACGGGTTGAAGGAGATCGGCGAGCTCTCCTTTTGGTCCTTGGTGGTGCACTGTGAAGGAAGAACAGGACTGGTTGAGCAGGTTTCTGAGCCAAACGACAACGCAGATCCTCAACAGTGGTATCAGAGCCTTCGGTGACTCGTTGTCGCTCAAAACCGCCGGTCGCCGCCGTTGGTCGCCGCCACCAGTCGCCGCCGCCGGACCGCCGCAAGGGTAAGGTCGAAACCCTCAACTAGGGTTTCGCTCAGGTATATCAGCTGAAAACCCATAAACTATTTCCTACCATTGAGGGGAAGTTCCTGGAGGATATTACACTAATATTATTAAGGATAACCCGGCCAGATAACAAAGTCAAACCCAGTTCCAAGAGAGAAACTGGGGGTGGATTATCCAATGCATCGGGAAGTTCCCGAAAGAATACCACAGGGGTATTCTTAGGGATAACCCAATCATTGTGGAATTGGTGAACAAGAAATTCACATTCAAACTCTAAAAGTCAGAATGTCCCTTCTTATTCCCTAACTCTTATGAGTTATTTTTGTGAGAAGAGATCCAATCCTCTGATAGGTTAATCTTCCCTCACCAAACCACCCGCTGATCAAATCAAACGACAGTGGACCCACCAACATTTCCATCTGCCAGTCATTGGCATTTCTCAGATTTAACATGCTAGGTCCTAAACGCCTAGCGTTAAAATCTCCCTTTGAGTGATGACACGAGTTGGCACTTTCTTTGCTACCCGTATTCCACTTTCTGTGTTTTCTGGTCAAACCTGTAAAAGTTAGGGCCAAAGCCAAAATCCCCTCTCGATTCCTCCAATGAACGAGAGGTCCACTTTCAAATCGAGTTAGGGTCATCTCAAACTCCTGCTGGGTCAAACCTATAAAAGTTAGGGCCAAAGCCAAAATCCCCTCTCGATTCCTCCAATGAACGAGAGGTCCACTTCCAAATCGGGTAATCAAACCTTCCGACAGTTAGGGTTATCCGAATCTTTTCGATTCTCGGAGTGGAGATCCCACTCCTAGTTTCACCATTCTGGATTCTGGGGGTGGAGATCCCACCCCAAGTCTCCTTTCCGGCCGAAGATAGAATATAAAATTCTTCCTCTTCAGCACCGGGAGATAGAATATAAAATTCTTCCTCTCCCGTTTCTCAATCTGTCTTTGCTTTTAGAAAAGACACGATTGTCAAATCCGGGCACTCGATGCACGGGGAATTTCGTCCCGAAGCCTAAGTAGGGATAAGTTAACGCCTAACACGCGTTGCCGGGTAGTCTATTCCCGTGAGAAAGACGAAGCCTATGTATTCAAAATCATAGCACAAAGCCTCAGAGAGTTTACTCTCTTAGCACAACGTTACGTGTGGAACGGATCTAGACAATCCACATGCTAGCCCGATTCAAACGGTAATCGGTAAAGGCACATCAAACCCGTTGATGGCTGGGGGTTTGCCAAAAATCCCATAAATCTGTCATTCGGAAGAAATACAGAGAAGTCACAAAAGAAGCAAAGGCGAAGTTTCCATTGATAAACTGAATCAAAATCATACAACAAAAAGCTCGTTAGCCCGAAGGCATCTGACGGTTGAGAATGTGAGACTTTAAGCTAAAGAGTCTATCTACATAACTCCGCTCGAGTTCTGCCCGCAGATCAGCTCGAACAAATTCTTCAGAACAGCCCAAAATCTCCGCAGCTTCACTCTTCAACTTCATCAGTCTCTCCTGAGTAGATCCGAGCTCCTCGAGTACCTGGTCACGAGAACGCTCTAGTCCAACCAGGTCATCTGCAATAAGAACGGCGGATTCCTCGGTACGCTTCAAGGCCTCCTTCAGATTCGAGTCCAAAGAGCGGAGTAACTCAGCTCTCTCCATATCTTTCCTCGCCACATTAGCCATTAGCTGCACAATGGAGTTCTCGTGTGACTGAAGCTCGCATCCGATGGAAGATCTCAGGTCACGCCACTGTGCCATCCTATGCTCCAACTGAGAGGATACAAAAGAAGAAGCCCCGGTAACCTCCAGTTCCTTCAACTCTCGTATCTCTGACTCCAGGGCAGCGAAATCAGCTGTGAAGGAATCGGCCAATTCCGGGTATCCTTCTTCCCTCATCATCATCATGTGGCGAGAAAAGGAACGCCGGAACTGATCAAAGCCGCCTCCTCGGTGAAGAAGTTTCTCGATCAGGCCATTATAAAAGGCGGTGAAGAAGCTGAGGTCCGTGCGAAAAGCCTCTCTGTCAGGATCAGTATCGACCAAAAGGCTACGGACACGCTCGTACAAGGAAGATCGAGATCCTACAAGCAATAACACAGAAGCTCAGCGGATTATCGAATACGATAAGGAAAGTCAAAAGGCAAGTTCTGAACATACCAACGCCAACGGACGTCCCCTCGGGTTGAGGTCCGACGGGCTCTGAGACAGTAGCAGAAGAGGGTATATCAGCCCCTGCAGGCGGATTGCTCGCACCACTCGGCAAAGGCGGGGAGGCACCATTGCTATGAAGGCTTTCAGCCCCGGGAACTGTAGTGCTCGCACCACTCGGCAAAGGCGGGGAGGCACCATTGCTATGAAGGCTTTCAGCCCCGGGAACTGTAGTGGTATCAGGCCCAACGCCCGGTCCTACAGTGACACTTCTATGTTAGTCAAAGGGAAATTTGGACAAATAAGGAGAATCGGGACAAGAAGATCGCATGCATACCTACCACCTCCCTGTCCTCAGATGCAGCCGGAATGCCAAGAGTCATAAGAGTATCGGCCCAAGCGGCTGGTCCTATGATGACACCCTCTTATTAGTCAAAATAAAAATTTAGACAACTAAAAAGGGTTGGGATAGTAAAGTCATCTGCATACCTGTAGATCCATCATCCGCAGGCATTTGAGGAATGTCAGGAGTCATATGAGAATCAGTCCCAGTGGCTGGTCCTATGATTGCACTCATATATTAGTCAAAAGTCAGATGAACATAGAAAAGTACGATATCCCTAAATTGTATGCGTACCTGCGAGCCCGTCACTCCGAGCCAAGCTGGATATGCCAGGGATCAATATCGGGCTGACCCCGATGGTTGACGCTGCAATAATTAATCATTCGTTAGTCAGATAAAAGATCAGGCAAGAGGAAGGGAATCAGATATATACCGGTGGATGAATCATTCCCAAAGAATGGTCTCTCGGTTCCTCTGGAAGTCTGCTCAGCCAGCATGTCAGCTAATAAGCCGGCATCGGGCCTCGAGAAACTTGGCCTTTCCATCGCAACATCTGCAGAGTAACCTGAACGTTGAAAGATGAGGAAAGCTCGAAAAAAATACTTGCAGCAAAAACGGAAGATCTTCCTTCCCCATGCTTGAGGAAAGTAACATTGGATGTAGATATACCTGAATATGGGACTGTGGACTCAACATTATTCATCTGCTCAAGATCGATGTTTAGATCGATACCCAAAGACCCGTCGTGAAGGGCGTCGCACATCTGTTGCATAAAGCAATCCATGTTATCAACACCAGGAGTGAAAGATGAGGAAAGCTCGAGAAAATACTTTCTGCAAAAACGGGAGATCTTCCTTCCCCATGATTGAGGAAAATGACATTGGATGTAGATGTACCTGAATAAGGGACTGTGGGCTCGACATTATTCATCTGCTCAAGATCGATGTTTAGATCGATGCCCAAAGACCCGTCGTGAAGGGCGTCGCATATCTGTTGCATAAAGCAATCCATGTTATCAACGCCAGGAGATGCCGGACTCGGTGGGAGTTCGCCTTCTTCGAAGAACCCTGGAGCGTAAAACATGGTTACAAATCCCAAAAGGTGAACAACCTTGAAGCAAGAGCAATTAAATGTTACCTTCAGCTCCATCGACGGTGCTCCCTAAGTCCACTCCATAGGGACGCTGACCGTCATGGGGCTTATGGGCGGTCTTCTTCCTCTTCGGGGCACCAACCCTCCGAGGGCCAACGGGTCGAACATGCGCAGGCCTATCACACGTTTCAACGTGTGTAGGAACCGGCGGCTCATGAGCATCGGCTATCCTACCTAAAGCGACAATAGCCATTTCATGAACAAGAGCTGTCATTTATGGAAAAGGAAAATCAAAGAGGCAGGACAAACCGGTATCGAGATCCCCTCTGCCGGTATCTGCATCCACATATTCTTCCTCGGAGGTCCCGTCATCGTCACCCGTAGGGAGGAGCTCTTCCTCGTCTGTGAGAAGAGATTTGGTGTGCCCTTTTCTCCGCTTCTGAGCAAGCTCAGCCCTGCGACCAGCCATCATAGCAGCCCGGACCGCGTACTCGGACTGTAATTCTGAGAGGCTCTTAACACTGATGGATTCATAGGCGGAAAGGAACCACTTGCAGCTGAGGAAAGTGGTCAGCGGCTTACGCCTATATGAAGGGAGAGCAAAATGGGCTCCAGTGCAGCCCACCATCGTCCATAGCCACGCTCGTACGCCATCAATCAAGCCTCCCTCAACCCGCAGGCTACGGCTCGGGTTCCCGACATACAGTTGGTCATAGCCGAACTGGCGAGCAAAGCGGCAAGGAAGATAAGGCTCTATGTGGCATTGGTTCTTCACCCGGAGGACAAGATACCCAACGCGGATGTTCACTAGCCACCGGAAACAACCAGCGTCGAGAATGGTCCGATCACTTCTAGGTTTCTCCTCATCAATCAGCACGTCGCCATAGCGACCTGAAAAGTGAGGGAAACACTTAAAGAACTCCCAGCTCTTGCGGACTCGAAGCTCTCGTTGAACATCGCTGAATTTGTTCCCGAGCCATCTACTTTGCTCCAACAATTGCATGAAAGGGACGGGGATGTCAACAACGCTGGGCGCCAACATCAAGTCAGGACGGTGAAGAACGAGCCACGCCATCAGATATGCGTAAGGGAGCTCAACCTTCGGACAAACCAGCTCAGCTGACGGTTCAGAACCCATATGTGTGAAACTGCTGACCAGACCCCTGAGCCCGCAATGGATGCTAGCAACCATTGCTGGGAGCAGGGAAAGCTCTCTCCCGTAAGCTAGCTGAACTGTAGGGAAGAGCACCTCGATGGGCAGAGCGTCTGAAGGCTGGTGCGGGACGACGCATTTCTTCAGCCAAAGGGCAAGGTAGCCTGCTAATAGAGTCCGGGGCCCTATGGACTTCTGTGCGCGGCGGAGAAAAGAGCGAAACTTGGTCCCCGCGGGAAAAGCTCCCTCAGCACTGCCGATGGTGTAGGAACGAGCCTCAGCCTTCTCCAACAACTCATTAACGGCGGAAGGGGTCAACACGTCTAATTCACGAATGGGCGCACTGGAATCACCCTCCAAGTTCTGGAACAAGTAGCTGGCAAACTGCTTCAAGCTGACCTGCCTCTTTCTTCTCGCTTGAGGAGAAGTCTGGATCAAGGAAGTATAATAGTGGCAAGTAAGATCCCAGAGTGTGTCATACATATCGGGAGTATCTTTCTTCATACACTCCAGCTGCTGGTTTAGGGGAAGTACTCCTGATATAGACAATCCCCCATCGGAAGACCCGAAACATGATGCATCTCATGCAAGGCCAACCCTAGCTCACCACCGCTGGTCAGAAAGGTGTTGCTGTCAGGCATGTAAGTCTCCAACAAAGCCAAGAAATGGCGACAGCTGACTGGGATTCCGTACATGGTGGCTCGTATAGGCGCATACAACCCACTGCTCTTCAGATCCCTCTCCCAGCGCGCTAAGACAAAACCAGTCATGCGCGCCCACCACCCCTTGGCTAGTGAGGAAGCCCAACCATAACATCTGTACTCCGGTGGAGGTAACTGTCTCCCAAGAAGAGCCAGACGGTTACTCACAGTCGGAAAAGCAGCTGACACCTCGCCTGGGGGTGCAGTATCAAGGCCCATAATCCCGGGTCGAAGACCACGAACGTCATGATACCCGTTAGAGCCAGGAGTCTTGTGGTGAGTGGCATATCCACACTGAACTCGATCAGCATCTTCAGTAAGATGTCAAGACATCTGTCGCTCCACGGCCTGCCCCTTCAAGTGACTGAAAGAATATTGGCGCGGAATCGAGGGGATGTACAAACAAGCTCCCCCGTCGAGAGTTAGCCAATGCTCCTCGCAAAAGGTCAGCGTAGCAGGATCCTCGACATGATCTCCAAACAGGAAACTCGGCTTCTTTAAAGCCTGAGTGGAGGTAGAATCCGGGGTGAAGGAGGCATCTGTAATAAGCTGGCGCAAACAATGGTGCCCTCCTTCCTGTATCAAGCGGCAAGAGTCGTTTGAGCGATCCCCGTCGAACCGAGGAAGTGGGCTAACAGCCTGCCTAAGGGAAGCTGAAGAGAAGCCCTCCCGACTACAGCCGGTGTTGGCGTGAGAAGGAAGGCTACCCGCGGGAAATTCCACTGCAATAAAGCACAAGGGTGGAATCAGATAATCCATCTCATAAGAAGAATGATAAACTCATCCACGGAATAATTGGAGAGACGATTTTGAGTGTCCTACACCGGAAGAACGGTATGCATCATCACGTGAATAACGTGGTAACATACACCGACCTATAAGGTGTAGGACGACACAAAATCGCCCCAATATACCGGAAGACTTGAATTGGCTAAGCAAAACAAGTCTGAAACCTTACCCTCCGCGAGAGAGGTATCGGTTCTTCCTTCATGACCCGCAAAGAGGTCAATCAGGGATGCAAGAAGAAAAATCTGCATAAATTCTCACCCCCGAAGAATGAGGCCGCGGGGGAAGACGTCGCGGGAACCTCTTCCTCACTATGCTGTGAATGAGAACGACTCCTACGGGGCCGAGATCGACGCGGAGACATTGCAAATCTGCAACGAAAAGCAGCAAGTCAGGTACAATCTAAAATATGAATGCACGAAATTTAAAAGGGAAATTAAGAACTTTAATTAGAATCCTACACATAAATAGGATTCCATAATTGAAGTCTACTTAAACCTACAAACTTCGTGCATGCAAGACGATGATTGTCATGTTTCGCGGTAAATTTTGGTGAAATACCCAAAATACCCTTCGTGTTCAAGGCTAAATTCGGGCCAAGGACACACTCGGGTTGGGTCATGGTCATCATACCTGATCATCTAGTACCCCGGTACCCCATAATTTTGGTTAAATTTTGCAAATAAACCCTTTTGCAGAATTTAGCCAATCTTGCATAAAAACCCTTCCATAAATTTTGGTTTGGTCTCCACATACCATCATCAAAAGTTTGATCATGAATTTGTGATCTAAACTCCTTGAATTTCAGCCATAAATTCGCTGCCTTTTGCAAATAAGCCCCTCTAAGACATTTATGGGCTGTTTTGCAAATTAACCCCTCAACAACCCTTGCATAAAGCACCCTTCACTTTCCTTGATCAAATAGACATGAATCCTAGCCTCAAAATTTCAGTTCCATCTTTGCATAAAAACCCCCACGAATTTCAGTCCCATTTTGCAAATAAGCCCCCCAAAATTTCGGCCATGCTACCTCTTTTGCACAAAACACCCCAAAACATTGTGCATACACAACCCCTAGCCCACTACAAGAATAAAGATGCAATCTTTACAAGAAAATAAGAGGATTGCGAAGAAGAACTTACCAAATCAAAGGGGTTTTCCTTGAGCTTAAAGATGAAGGAGAGAACCCTATTTGGAGAAGCAAGCTTTCGGCCAATAGGATGCACCCAAAATCCGAGCTCCTCTTGAAGGGTTGATGGGCTCTTGAAAGCGAATCAATGGAGAATAAAAGCTTGGGGAAGAAGAACACACAAAACCGAAAATAGGGGGAAGAATTCGGTTTTGGGAGCCAAAAAAGGAGGGAGAATCTCTTTTGAATTTTGAATTAAAAGAGGGGGGGGGGACCATGAGCAAAAGACAAGAGAGGAAAAGCCAAACCAAAGGGGGGGGACCACGAAAAAGCCAAGGCACCCCATGGGGTGTCTCGGCAAAGCCGATGACACCCCAGGGTGTCCCGGTTTTGTCGGGACACCCCCGGGGCGTCTTGAGTCTGTTTTGACCCCCCGAACCTTGTTTGGACCCCTAAATTGTTTTCTGAACCCCAAATCACGCCAATTCTTCGCCAATCGTTGAATATTGATGAACTCCAAAAGTCAACCTTTGACGAATCAAAACCCTAAGGTAGACGCCGGTCAACGCGTAACCCTAGGTCAACCCCACTCAACGGGTTGCGAGCAAAGTCAACATTTGACGAATCAAAACCCTAAGGGTCCACGCCGGTCAACGCGTAACCCTAGGTCAACGCCAGTCAATGCGTTGCAACAAAAGTCAACGTTTGACGATTCAAAACCCTAAGGGTCCACGCCGGTCAACGCGTAACCCTAGGTCAACGCCAGTCAACACGTTGCAACCAAAAGTCAACGTTTGACGATTCAAAACCCTAAGGGTCAACGCCGGCCAACGCGTAACCCTAGGTCAACCCCACTCAACGGGTTGTGAGCAAAGTCAACATTTGACGAATCAAAACCCTAGGGACAACGCCGGTCAACGCGTAACCCTAGGTCAACGCCAGTCAACGCGTTGCGACAAAAGTCAATGTTCGACGATTCGAAACCCTAAGGGTCAACGCCGGTCAACGCGTAACCCTAGGTCAACGCCAGTCAACGCGTTGTAACAAAAGTCAACGTTCGACGATTCAAAACCCTAAGGGTCAACGCCGGTCAACGCGTAACCCTAGGTCAACGCCAGTCAATGCGTTGCAACAAAAGTCAACGTTTGACGATTCAAAACCCTAAGGGTCCACGCCGGTCAACGCGTAACCCTAGGTCAACGTCCGAAACCCTAAGCCAGCACAATGTGGCAGAGGTAGTTCAAAGTCAACTCGATGACACGAGCCAAGCTCAATCCATCAGCTGCAAACTCGAGACTCCGACGACGGCCAAGCGATAAACGCAGTGCCGGAAGAACTTCAGCTATGCGTCAAAGCATCGGATAGACTGAAAATCGAAGGAGCCAAGAGTTGAAGCTAACCACAGGTCCTTACGCCGACTGAAGGCCAGACCAATCACATCCAAAGTATACTAGCCTCTTCTATAAAAGAAACGAGTCCGGAACACTTTGGAGGGGGTATCTGTA